TGAAGACCACAATTGAAGAATAAATGTTAGAGCATATTTGCGATGATATCGAAAGAAGCATGAGACATGTTTGTGATGTTGTGTTCAAGGAAGAATGATACGAGGTTACAACTTCTGGTGAACGAGCTGTTATCAATCTCATAATGTGACATGACGATTGCTCAATACTCCCATAGGGTCAAGTCGATCTGTCGAGAGATTATTAAACTAGATATGCGGTCAGTCATTGGAGAAGCTCGAATGAAGAGAATCATTATCCATGGATTGTAACCAAAATATAGAAGCTTTGTAATTGTGGTACCAGGATAGCCCGCAACCATCACTTGTAGAGTTTGAAATTTTTTTAGCCACCCAAATGTTAGAATTAACAACTTATTGTTATATGGAATTAGTCAAATTGTTAACTATTCATTTTTTCTTAGAGTCAACATGAATAGTTTATTTTTGTAGAGTCTTTGTAGGACTATTTATAGAATTTATTTCAGTTTAAATAGGAGCCCTCCTTACTAAAACACAAGCGACAATAAACGGTTCATTATTTAATTTGTGTCATTTCATATTTATTCACACCTTTGAACGTGAGATTTTGGGACAGTTGGTATCAGAGCCAAGTGTTGATACTTTGAAATTATTACTCAACGAGATGAATGGTGAAAGTGCTTCTATGGGTGTAGCCATGGAAAAGCTTGTTGGCAATAATTACAATTATTGAAAGTTATGTATGGAAGCTTATCTACAGGGACAAGATTTGTGAGATCTAATTGAAGGTGATGACACAAAAATTCCAACAGACACTCCACAAAATGTTGAATTACGCTGAAAATGGAAGATTAAATGTGGAAAAGTCTTATTTACCTTGCGAACTCTTATTAGCAATGAATACATTGATCATGTTCGTGATTTAAAGTCATCAAAGCAAGTGTGGGAAACCCTTCAAAAGTTGTTCACTAAGAAAAATACAGCTCGATTGCAATTTCTAGAGAATGAACTGGCTGTGGTGACTCAAGGTAATTTTATGCTCTTAAATTTTTGAATTAGATGCTGAGGAGCCAATGAGTGATGCTCGATTACGACGTTATCTTATTAATAGATTATGAAAAGAATTTATGTCCTTTGTTTCCTCAATACAAGGGTGGGCATATCAACCTACGGTAATTGAACCAGAGAATCTTCTTTCAAATCAGGAAGCCTTGATTAAGCAAATGACCGGCAGCAATGAGTTTTCCTCAAAGTCAGAAGATGCGTTGTATGTCAAAGGAGACAAAATTATCATTCAAAGCCTTCATCAACCAATGGGAAACAATTCCGAAGTGAGGAGTCGTCAAAGAAGCCATTTAAAGCTTGTTACAAGTGTGAAAAACCTAGTCATTTTAAACGAGATTGTCGGGTGAAAGTGGTGTGTCATCGTTGCGGAAAGTCAGGCCATATTAAGCCAAATTGCCGAGTTAAAATGCAAGAATCAGAAGCAAATGTTGTACATGAAAGTAAAAGTTCTTCGGATCCAATTTGGGAACATTGCTTAACTACTGAGGTTCTTGACTAGTCAACAAATGTGACCTCAGATGTATATCAAGATGGTGTTTCAGCAAGTGCTCATGCCTTTATAGGCTACAATGAAGAATGGATCGTTGATTATGGTTGTTCTCATCATGCAACTGAAAACGAAACTCTTCTATCAGATGTTCGTCCACATTTTCAAAAGAAGATCATTATGACAACCGATAATTCAATACATTCTGTGACGAAATAAGGAGATTTGACTGATGGGAGTGTTCTACTCAAGGACGTTTATCATGTTCCGAGTTTGAAAAAAAAAACCTTGCTTCTGTATCACAAATAACAGATTCAGGAAGGTATGTTCTTTTTGGTCCTAAAGATGTTCAAATACTATCTAATGTGAAACATGTTGTTGTTGATATCATGTTATGTGGAAAAAGAAAAGAATCTTGGTATGTTTTATTAGCTAGTGATCAAGAAAGTTGGTCATAATGCAAGCTCAACTCTTTGGCATGCTCGTTTGGGTCATGTGAGTTTTCAGTTGTTGCAGGAAATATCCACAAAACAACTTCTTGATGGTGTCCCTGTCTTTAAAGATATTCAACATGATGAGATTTGTCCAGGCTGCCAATACGGCAAGTCTCATCGTCTTCCTTTCACAAGCTCAAAGAGTAGAGCTTCAACAGTATTAGAATTGATTCATTCTGATCTTTTGGGACCGACACGAACAGCAAGCTATTCCGGCTTTCATTACGTGATGGTGTTTATGGATGATTTCTCTCGCTTCAGTTGGGTTTTCTTAGAACACAAAAGTGAAGCTTTTTCAAATTTTATTCAGTTTAAGCATGCGGTAGAAAAAGAATTTGAATTGAAAATCAAGGAATTGTTATGCGCCGAAAGCGGAACAAATGTACTCACAACACCAAATTTACTCAAGGCATACAATATTGCACACAAAGCTTGATGATTTCAACAGCAGAAAGAATGACATTATATAGGCTTCTGTTAAACCTAAATATAAACTAACAGGCCTAAAAAATATTAGCTAAGACCTTGAGAATAGGTCTTGGTCCTAGAGAATAGGGCTTATGACAATGCTTAACAGGAATATCTTTCAAATGATTTTATGGAATACTGTAAGGAGCATGGGATTCAGCGTCAATTGACTTGTCTAGAAACCCTGCAACAAAATGGGGTGGCTGAGCGTAAATTAGCTCATCTTACATCAGTTTGCTTGTCTTGGCTGCATGCGAGGAGTCTTCCAAGAGAGTTATGGGTGTCAGTTTTTCGAACAGCTTGTCATGTTGTAAATCGGCTGTTTCCATGGCCAAGGACAGAATCATCACCATTCGAATTGATTTATCATTGTAAACCCAATGTAAGTTATTTTCGTATTTTTAGGTCTATTTGTTACGTTCATGTACTGAAACATAATCGAACTAAGCTTGACCCAAAGGCCAGAAAATGCATTTTTGTTGGCTATGATACTCATAGAAAGGGTTGGAGGTGTATGATTTGGAAACAAAGATGGTTATTGCGTCTCCGTGATGTGGTGTTTGATGAAATTTCAAGTTACAGAGACGAGCAGATAACAGCAAAAGTACAACTACTGTTGCACTTTTTCCTGACGATTCTACATTAGGGAGAAAAGAATTTCCAATTGCGACAAACATTCAAGCTGAAGAGAATAGAGAAGCCACTACAAATATTGAAGTTGCCAAGAAAAAATCCTCAAAGACAGAAGAAGATACCAGGTCATTTATCTGATTTTGTAGTTGACATTAATCAATTTTCTATTTTGTCATGTATTTTTATGGGAGATACAAGTGAAAATGAGCCGAGGTTATACAGTGAGGCTAAAGGAATTTCATAATGGGAAAATGCAATGACGGAAGAAATTTCAGCACTCCGAAAAAATGACACCTGGGAGCTTGTACCAAACCCTCATGATGCCGATTTAATTACTTGTAAGTGGGTTTACAAGGTGAAGAAAAAAGTTGATGGTAGAATTGATAGACACAAAGCTCGCCTTGTTGCTTGTGGGTTCTCTCAGCAATATGGTCGAGACTATGACGAGACTTTTAGTCCGGTTGCAAGGATGGTAACATTACGGACAATCATCTCTTTAGCTGCTAGTAAAGGCTGAAAATTATGGCAGCTTGATGTGAAAAATGCTTTCCTTTATGGAGAGTTGGATCGTGATATTTTTATAGAGCAATCGCAAAGATGTACCTCTAAGGAACTGATTACGTGTGCAATCTTAAGAAGGCATTATACGGACTCAAACAAGCTTCTCGTGCTTGGTTTGGTAAGATTGCTCAATATCTTAATTTTTGTGGTTTTAAGTCTTCAAGTGCTGATCCGAGCTTATTTGTTAAGAAAACAATAACTAGATGCACCTTGCTCTTACTTTATGTTGATGACATGATTATTACTAGTGATGATAGTGTTGAAATCAGTAGTTTTCAAGATGTCTTGTCTATTCGTTTTGAAATGAAAAGATTAGGTGAAGCTGATTGTTTTCTGGGTTTAGAAATTAAGAAATGTGATGATGGTTATTTTCTGTCTCAGAAAGGATATGCATCAAGTTTATTGCACAAGTTTGGTATGGAGAACTCGAGAAAAAACTACTCCTATGGAACCAAATCTAAAATTAGCTAGAAATGAAGTAAAGTCATTAGCAAATGAGTCATTTTTCGTCAATTTGTTGGTAGTTTATTCTATTTAACTATCGCAAGGCCAGACATTGCCTTTTGAGTAGGAGTTGTGTCTCAATTTATGGATCAACCACATGAGACTCATTTAATTGCAGCAAAAAAGGATTCTTTGTTATATCAAGGGCACTTTAAATTACGGATTAATGTATGAGAAATCATAGTCATTTTTATTGAGTGGTTTTGTGGATGCTGATTGGGCTGGTGACGTGAACAACAAACGCTCCACAACAGGTTTTTGTTTTACAGCAGGCTCTACTGCAATTTCATGGTGTAGTAAAAAGCAAACTACCGTTGCTTTGTCAAGTTGTGAAGCAGAACATGTAGCTGCTACAATGGCTACTCAAGAATGCTTGTGGCTCAGAAGGCTTATTTAAGAAATAGTGACTACTCTCAATCAGCCAATTCAAATCAATTGTGATAATGAAAGTGCAATAAAACTCGCTGGAAATCAAGTGTTTCATGCTCATTCGAAACATATTGAAACTCAATATCATTTTATTCGAGAGAAAGTATTATCGCAGGATGTTGAATTGCATAAAATACATACTAATGAGCAAGTTGCAGACATATTCACTAAGGCACTTGCCAAAGTGAAGTTTGAAGTCTTTTGCAAGTCTCTCGAAATTATTCTAGTGCAAGACAGTCTGCAACTTATTGTTAGATGGAATTAGTCAAATTATTAAGTTATTCATTTTTATTAGAGTCCACCTGAATGGTTTATTTGACTGGAGTCTTTGAGAGTTATTTATAGAATTTATTTCAGTTTAAATTGAATTGAGCCCTGGCTTAGTAAAACACAAGCTGGTTGATATCATAAGGGTAAGCATCGCCAGCTTCTTTGGCTTTAAAGGCTCTACTTGCTAGTGCACTAATCCCCACTTCTGTTGGATGAACTGCATCCCAGAACATATACTCCATCCTATTCCCACAAATTCTTCCTAAACGAGTACACTGCACTTGCCCTGCATCCACTTCACAGCAAGGAGCATTTAGGACCATTCTACCTGCAAGTTCCACACAAACTTGTTCATCTCTCTCTCTCTCTCTCTCTCTCTGTTTATGATCAACAACACAAGAAGTTGTAAGAGAAGCTACCTGAGGTTGAGGGGATCGTAGAGGAGATTTTGAACACATCAATGTACGTGAACTTAGCACCAGCCATCTTGGTGTTGAGCTGAAGAACAAGGGCCTTGAGGCCGTCATTGAAGAGCTGAATAGCGTTGTTTATTTTGTCCACACATCCGCCTCCTTTGTTCTCGAAGTTGGCCCTTGCATATGGAGTGCACCCTATGGATCCCACCCCAAAAAGTGCCACCTTTCTTGCTCCTTGCTCATACAGAACCTACCATGTAAACATACCTATTTTTACCACTTAATTCATATTCATTGTCTTTTGGTCCACCCTTTACATATTTTTTAGCCTGTTAATGATAGATTGCTCGTTTTCTCACAAATTTTTAACCAGGGGTTTCTTCTCTTGTAGGTTAGCATTTCATGAACAAAGAAATAACTTGATTTGGGTTGTGAAAACACTTGAAGGGATAGACAACAAAACAAGAATCATACAAGTCCGAGCACAAACCTTCAATTCGGTGTAAAGCCGGTTGTTTAGGACAGTGGCAAATTGTTGGGGAGTAAATTGGGCACTTGTTTTGTAGAATTGTGGCATAAAATAATTATTAAGGTAATCATTGCTTCCAATTTGAACAGTATATAAGCAACTATTAAGATGGGTTGTAGTCGCACTTCTGGTTCCCAATAGGCCACGGATTTGTGAAATTGTGATATTGTGATTCTCCAATTGCTTATGAATGCTCAACACTTGCCCCTACAAACATGAACACACGATCAATCATACCTGGCTAATTTACGGAATGATTATGGGTTTATAATCCATGAATCTTTTGGAGAAGTCCGAAGTAAAGCCACCATAGCTCATACTCAAAAGTAGACCATTGTGGAGATTCGTGGTTCTTAACACAAACATCTCTAATCACTTACCAACGTTCTTCCAGTTTCTGGGAGAATCCCGGCACCTCCCGAAGCATAGTTTACACCATCGAGAATTTCCCTACCCTTTATAGTCGTAAAGGGCGAAATATAATGGCGAAAACCCAAATATGTAGCTGAAAAACCATTAGGGTTAATGGTATCAAAACGATTTCCATTGAAAAAAAGAAAGAACATTAGTTGTGGTTGCCTTTTGCTTACATTCCCATATAACATCAATTTCCATTTCTCTCCCTTGCTTTCAAAACTCTTTTTCCAAAATCTCTCCTCCCAAATTTCTAAAATCTTCTCTTAAAATCGAGACCCAAGGTTTGTATTCATGTTCCCTGACTGCAGGCAACGTAGCTCGAAGTAGGCTTGACCCACTCAGTGTTGAGAGTGAGTGCCGCATAATTACCAAATCCGCTGCTTAGAAACCGCGATTGTGACACAATCACACTTCGATGGCAGCAGCTTGCTATTGTGCAACACTCACTTCTTAGCAGCAAGTGAGTTAAGCCTATTCGTTCTTACATTGCCTACGGCCAAGCGACGTATGCTCGAGCCTCTGGCCTCGATTCAAGAACAAAGCTTTAGAAAACTGGAGCAGAGAGTTTTGTATTATATGAGGATGTAAGCAAAAGAAACAACAACGCCTTACTGCATATAACATCCGGAGTGGAATGAGAAGACAAACCAATGAAATCAGGAGCATTTCGACCATTGGTGAAGCGGCCAGTGGGCGTTCCTTCTCTATTGAAGTCGCAGCCATAAGGCTTGTAATCAGCCCTGGCATTGCCATAAGCCATTTCCATGACGTTGTTGTTTCCATTGTCAGCTTGGGAGTCCCCAAGTACAAAATAGCAACCCACTTTGGTTTTGGTTTGGGTGGTGGCGTTGGATTTGGGTCTGGTTCTGGATTTGATTCTGGGTGATGCTCCATCAACCCAACTACTTGCAAAACAAGCGGTGGTTAAAAGACATAGAACCACCAGGGATTGACCTTTCATTGCTCAAATGATGTGTTTCAGGTTGAAGTAGCATAGATTTATAGGTTGGATGATGGCAGGATTTCAAGGGAAAACATGGTATTCCCAAAAATAAGATCTATCAACAACCATTCACTATTTAGCAGAGAGAGAATTGACCCAATTCTTTTCCATATTCAATTCCTTTTTCCTTTAAATTATATAAATAAAGATTTAAGTCTCCAATTGTTTATCAGATTCTAATGGTTTGGATAAACTTTCTTAAATTTTTGTTGGGTTTAATTAATAATCTAAAGAGTATATAGTATATGGATAAGATTGAGTGTCTTATCTTGGTAACACTATTAATACGACCTATTTTGTAATCGTTACAAATGATTTGATTCAAATCGTTCATATGGACACTAAACAATGAGTTTGTATAAGATTGGACTAAGAAATATTTAATGTTTCTTTATAAATTCATTAATTAAAAAGATTAATATTTCACATGATGATCATCATATACGACTCGATCAAATCCTGAGTGAGTTATAAAGTGTTGCCTGTGAGATTTGTCTTTTAATTTACATGGGTGAGAATAGCTCTTGTAACCAATTTATTTTGTGTACCATTTCTGGGATTTAGACCAAATAGGGAGTTTGGAACATGAATAACGAGGCCCCACCCTCTCATTGGCCCGAGAGGGACTCAGTTTATGATTGGATCATAAACAAATTATTCATTAGAGAATCAGTAGACCAAATAGGGAGTTTGGAACATGAATAACGAGGCCCCACCCTCTCATTGGCCCGAGAGGGACTCAGTTTATGATTGGATCATAAACAAATTATTCATTAGAGAATCAGTAGTACTTAAGGTGAAAGATGTAATTACATGGATAAAACAAACTTTTAGCCCAGCTGTAATTAAGAACAACTTGGGAATGATTGAGTTGCTTGTAATGATTATATCAATGGACATAACTTGTTCTACCGTACATAAAAATGAACCCTAGGTCTATATTGGAGTGACCTAAAGTTAATGAATGAAAATGGATTTTATATAATTGTAGCTTATAATCTATAAGTTCATAAGATGCCCTTGCTCGCTCGTAGTAACACTAAAAGGTTAAATTTAATTGAAAGAAAATTTTGAAACACTTCACATTTGTAAGTCCATTAGGTGCCCTTGTTCTACCGTACATAAGAGCTTATCATCATTCACGTATCGTATTTCAGTCATATCATTTCGTAAACACTTCATAATCATATCGTTCCATATACATATCCTAGTCATATCATTTTCTAAACTTGTCATAGTCTTATCGTTCTTATACATATCAGAGTCGTATCGTTTCATGAACATATTTTAGTCATATCATATTCCAAACGTATCCTAGCTCTATTATTTCATGAACGTGTCCTGCTCATATCGTTTCATGAACGTATCCTACTATATCGTTGCATGAATGTATCCTAACCATATCGTTTTATCAACCTATAATAATCATATCGTTCTCTATATCTAACCTAACCATATTGTTTCATCAACCTATCATAATCATATCGTTGTCTATGCATAACTCAACCATATCGTCTCATGAACATATCTTAGTCATGTCGTTACATTACGTTTATCGCATCCTTCTCATATCCTATCTCAAACATATCATCAAACCATCATACGATACGAGTTATCTTACCATTCACATATCATAACGTATATATAATATCATAATCATATCGTTTCATAAATAATTCACACATATCAAATATATGACACGTGCAGAACCACGAGACACGTGTCAACACAAAACATCAAATTATAATCATGGCGATAGTAAGACCATTTACTTGATTGGCCATAGCCGGCATTCTCCCTAAACTCGAGTACGTTAGAATTCTATTTTCTCGAAGTTGCTCCAAGCATCGTCGGAAGTTGTAACCTATTCGTACGTCCAACTTATTTTCGTTAATAACTCACGTTTCTAGCCTAAATCAACTCGAACTTGGAAATAAGACGCTATACTAACTTCAATTGCCTTAATGAAGGTCAAATTCAACTCTGAATGGGACAAAATCACAGGGATCGATACCAAAAGTATCAACTCGAGCCAGATAGCCGAGTTTTGAGCCACAGCGAGCAGAGTCGAGTTGACTGAACTAAAGGAGCCAGTGTCTACATGCGCAACATGTGTCACTGTGGAGAAGGAGACGCATGTTCGGGTGACGTTTTAGGTCGAGGCATGGGCTTCGGGTCGTAGGTTGTGGGTCGCGCGGGTTTGGGCCGTATATGCCATCGGGCCGCATCCTCTACATTTTGCGTTATGGGGTCATACTCACAATTTGAGTCGACATTGGGTGGCTTCGGGTCGATACTACTGTTGAACCATCCCACTCTCCGGCGTAGTTAGGCCGAGCGTAGTCTAGGCTGAGAACATTAGGCTTTTAGGTTGAGGGGCTGGGTTGTACATTGGGCTGCAGACGGGTTGTTCGACCCAGATCCAGACCCGACACGAAGAGGAAGCACTGCAACTGTGTTCCATTGTAATCACAAAGAAAATGGACTGAAAAAGGAGATAGATAGCTTAGGAATTCGTAAGGCACGACAAGAGAATGCCTCCAATCAGTAATTGTTCATGAAACATATGATGTTCTACACAATATTACACCATACAACCACACAAAATTATACATATATTTCTTCCCTCATTACACATTCCATACATGGTATACTCAAATGTTCATACAGCATTATGTACATTGCCAGGATCTGTCCCTCTACCATTTGAGTATCAGCAAGAAAGCAAAGATTCCAAGGCACGAATGGATCTTGACTAACCTTGCAACACGACTGGAAGAATCAATTTGCAGCGTTCTACAAGAGAGACGTCAAAAGAAAATTTCCCGCACGTCGATATCCTCAACGCAAGAGTATCCTGATGGCGGTTTCTAGTATTAGAAGTATAACTGTTTGCTCATATTCATTTAGTGCCTCGTTTCTCAAGAAGATTTGATTGCTAAAGACCGAATCTCAGACTCGGTAGCCAATAACTTATCTCTAAGAATTACGTTATACTCGTACAAACTTTTGATCTTCTCCAAGACATCGAACATGTCGATATCAGAACTATCCTTGAACTCTGCATCAGAAAAACTGAAAATAACTGACCATGGTTTATCAAATAAGCTATGTAACATATCCCACAAGCTAAGTAAATACACTCTTGTCATGAATCAAGTGTTGCAGTGAAAAACATGTTCTACGACATATATGACCGACCGACCCACATTCGCCATCGTGTCATAGACCAATAACATTGTGATTCTTGACAACAATAGAGATGGAGAGGAGAGGGAAAATGTGGCAGTTACCTATTGTGGGTGGTGGAGGAATAATTGCTTCAGAATGAAACAGTTCGCTAAGTTGTGAGGAATCTCCCTCACATGGACGGATCAAGCTTTGCTTGCCTTGTCCACACAACCAAGCATTTATCAGAGGCTGAAGAACATGGCAATATAGAATGAATTAATAGGACATAACAAACTCAATGGATAACGAATGGGAAACTCACTCGTTCTTGTTTTGTTGTTATCGTTTTCATTTCCGAGCCGGTAGCTGTTGCCTTTAACGATTCCGTGTCCTGTTTAGCAGTCTGCATAGCATAAGTCTAATCAATGTAAAATAAAGAACAAATAAGCTCATGAAGTTGTAAAATAACATAACATTTACTTGTCTGTTAAATCTAAAAGTAGTATATCCACTCTTTGCCTTTCGCTTGCGCAACAATCCGCCCTCGAGACTTGATTGAACCATGCAATCGGCGCAACTCGGTGTTGCTGATAGATCATTGTAATAATCATCCATTGTACTGCAGCCCCATGTAAACATTACATATTTCCTCAACTAGAAAATAAAATGAGTTAGTTTGTGAAATCATTTCGTTTTGGTTCATGAATTTTCCAAAATGTCAGGTAAATAACTTTAGGAGAGGAAAAGATGAACAAAAACACCTTATTCCAATGATCTTGTGCTATCTTTCGATTTCTAATATTACGCATAACACTGTCTTCATCGTGGAGCTTTTTAATTCTGTACTCAAACTACCAACCAAACCAAGTTAGAGAAAAATCTATTTGACAGTTGACATAATATTATGTATAACACTGTCTTCGTTGTGAAAATGGCGTACCTGCACGACGAGGTAGAGAAAAATGGCGACACTAATGCAATATAGGCCACCGAGGTCTGCAAGAAAGCTAACTGCAAACAAAGAAATCACAAGTTCAATTATAATGCAAGTGACATTCCACAATAAGTTCAATAGAAAAAGGTATATAGCATAATGTTCATATAATTATATTCACCAGGGCCAAAAATGTTTTGGTTCTCGATCTCGACAATGTAGGAAGAGAGAAGATTGATGAACAAGGTGACATTTAGTACTCCATCATTGGAATTTTCAAGGGAAGTTTGGAGATCACTCGCCTTTTGAAAGAACGAACCAGGGACAAACTCATGAAATAAAGGCTGCAGGAGCTTGGAATCCTGTTGGTTAACATATATTCTAGGAAATAGATTGAATTGCACTATATTTGCGTTCTTCCCTCTGAATGTAACCGGTGTATCGTCAAAACTACTAACGTTTTTTAGTATTCCACTAAGGAAACTTGCATGATCCTTTTTGGGATGATTCCTTGCAGAGAGGTTAAACTGAAATCCAACAGCACTGGCAGGACTACTTGGAAGATCGACGAACTGCCATGAGATATAAATCTTGTCCTGAATGAAACGACATCTTCGACATTGAACACGTACCGTTGGCCCGTCGCTGTTGTTATGACAGGAGTAGTTCGCAAAGTTTGACAGAGGCATTACTTTCTGTTTCAGAAAACCAGGATTTCCAAACACAATAGTACCGAGATCACGAACGTTTGCACAACTCATAGTAGAGACTGTGGTTATATTATATTCCATGTCGTTCACAAAGGAAGCCATATCTGGTGCGTGTGCTGCTTTGATATTATGCACTTCAATGCTTCTCTTTGATATAATTTGGTAAAGCAACCTGAGAGAACACTGCAAAGCCAAGTCAATACCAAACCAACACGAGAGAACTTCTTGCAAAGATGAGAGAAATTTGGTACTTACGCAGCAAACAAGCCAATGAAAAGTATCCAACTTGCTATTGAGAATGTTCCACCGAGTTCGGTTTTTCGTTTTGTGATTACTTTTTGATCATCCTGAAACACACAGAGAAGACAAGCTAATTAACTCATACCCTACCAACCAAAATATACGAAAGGTTAGGAATCACGACTCTCCACAATGGTATGATATTGTCCACTTTGAGCATAAGCTCTCGTGGCTTTGCTTTGGCGCTTCCCTAAAAGACCTCATACCAATGGAGATGTATTCCTTACTTATAAACCCATGATCATTCCTTACCTTAGCCAATGTGGGATTCCCTCCCAACCATCCTCCCCTTGAACAAAGTACACCCTTTGTTCAACACTTTGAGTCACTTTTCACTCAACCTTCGAATTAGTCAATGTCTAACTCCCTCCCAACAATTCTCCCCTCGAACAAAGTACACCATTTGTTCGACACTTGAGAATTTTATTGACATGGCTAACTTAAGGGCATGACTCTAATATCATGTTAGGAGTCACGACTCTCCACAGTGGTATGATATTGTTCACCTTTGAGAATAAGCTCTTATGGTTTTGCTTTGGGCTTCTCCAAAAGGCATCGTACCAATGGAAATGTATTCCTCACTTATAAACTCACGATAATTCTCTAAATCAGGGAAGACCTAGGTATAATTGCAGTAACATGATGACATGTTCTACAATTTCAGCTTCTAATATGAATAAAGAACTTGACACATAAAACATTAACTTTCAGCTTATTTCAGCTCATTTCAGCTCAGTTCTTCAGACATAGGTAATTGAACTTTATCAATGAAGATTGAAATCTCCCATCCTGAAAATTGCCTTTGAGTGTGTGATAATAATTAACTTCATATCAACATCAGTTAACCCAGGAAATTTAAAGTTCATATCCGAGACAAATACTAGTTCCTGAATCTATTATCTTCGTATCTCTATTCTAAGATCTGAAATTGTTGATGCTGAGGAATATCACGAAACCCAAAGTAAAACAGAGCAAATAAAGAAATCAGAACAAAACCACCCTGATCAAACCACAAAGTAGCAAATAAAGGGCAGCTAACCAGCCAATGTGTAGTGGCAAAGCAGAGGTCCAATCTGCTAACCCACCATCTCATCCTGAACCAGATGTTTCTGCCATCCCCAAGCTTCATGAATCTCAGAAACAAGCAGAAGAAGAGCCAGGAAGCCAGCATTACAAGTGTAGCCTGAAGAAACACAGCTTGAGACTGCATGAACATCCTAAGAGAATCAAATGAGAAAATGGTAACAGGGAAGCTAACAGCATCGCTGTCAGCTTGGCTGATCACGATGGCTGGAGAGCTGCCGAAGAGAACACAGGTATTGGTGGTTCGATCAAGAAGATGGCCTGGTGGGCAGGCGCAAAGGGAGGCATTGAAGCGTAGACTGTTGATTGGACATGACATTGGCGATCTGGGGTTGCTATTTCCAGCGACCCTGAAATCAAACGCTAGAAGGGAGATTAGGGGAAGGTGGAAGTGTCCGAAATGGGATCTGTGGTTGCGATTAAGACGTGGGGTTTGCCAATAATACCATCTCTGGGAGTTCAGAGAGTGATTGATTGTATTATGAAGAACAGTAATCGAGATAAAGATAATGGGAGGGAATAAAGTAAGAAAGGTGTAGATGCTTTACTGGAATCTATGAGGTGTGGAGCCGAATGAGAGGGAGAGAATGTAGGCAATTGGCAGCCACCGGCCTACTCGGATTCCTCAGCGTTTTTTTCATATATTTCATGTTCTTTACTGTTTCATTCAGATTCTTTCTGGAATGTGAGTCATGGGCATTTTGGTAAATGCCGGATTTTTTTTTTCTTTTTTTAATCTATTTTTATATCTAATTAGATTGTAAAGATAATGATAAAGTTTCTGAAAATAAGGAAAGGAATTTGATATTATATATAAATATAACGCAATTAAAATTAGAGTTCAAGTAATTGCATTCTCGAATTGCAATTTGCTCAAGTCAATAAGCACGGAGTCAGACGTCGAGTATCGTCTTCTGCGTATTTCCTACACTTCACGACCCAAACATTCTCAATGAACCTGACCATGTCGATAACTGAGTTCAAATCTTCTATATCGTGCGCGACAAGTGTTAGCCTTCAAGGCTATATAGAATAATTAGTTGAAAAATAAACAAATCTATTGTATTCGAAAATGAGGGAGCAATGTTTATCATAAACTTAAGGTCAATGTCAGTTTTTAATGAGATGAGAATATAAGAATATAGAACAAAAAAAATCACTATTATCTAATTAATTCTCCTGTTTTTCTCTAATTTACATTATCCTTATATTTAGTTCTATATAAAAGTGTAAAAGTTGTGGCAAAATATAACATATACACTTGTAAGTTACACAAGATTTACATAATCTAAGGGGTACACCACACCCTTCATTCAATCTACAGTTTAAGAAGAATACAGAGATAATGAGTGTTGTCTTGTCTTATTACTTGCAGGCCCCCATGGCCCTAAATTAAATAGCCTTTCTTCATTGCATTTACATCTCTATGTCCTCGAGTTCCGGCAGAGGAAATCGTAGGATTGCTGCAATTCCAGTTATCTGAGCGAGTTCTGTTCATACCAAAACAATTAGAATTCGTTTTCATCCAACATCAAGGGTAAAGATGAACCAACCACTCGTTTTTCATTAAAAGTAATGATCGAAAACATATACTTACGCTCTCCAGAGACGTGCATGGATGAAAATATATGAACGGTGCCACCTGAATCCTTAACTGAATCGACCAAATTGACGTATTTTTGTCGCTCCGTTGTATCATTATTCCTGCACAAAATTATGTTGTTAAATTAAAACAACTATGTTTATTCTATGCAAATGCGCTATGCTGACTACTACGATGAAAGAAAGCTCATGAAGCCAAACTTTCTAGCCCCAAAGGCAAAGAAGATTGCACGAAATGTTTATAAAACGAATTTGCGGGCTCACTTAATATGATTGCACATCGACACAACGGTACAGAGACTCGTCACAAAATGGTTAGGGGAAACGATACCTGAAGAGATCATCAGTAATGAGAAGCGTTTGAATAGCCATTCGTTCATGGGCAACCTCCACGTGTTTTGGTCCATAACAAGCACGGTCTGGCTCCTGCACAGTCACAACATGAGTTCAACAAAACCAAGACAGAATCTATAAGATTGTCTTTGTTAAGGTAATAAATATGCAGACAACCACAATATGTTAATACATAAGAAGAAAATAACTTCAAAGCAGAAAACCTAGAACTGGAAACTCACATTAGAGAGCATGGTAAAGAAATCCTTTAGAGCTCGCACCTAGACAGAAGAAAAGGAGACAAAAAGGAAAAAGGAGATTAACTTGGGGACATTAATGCACACTAGTGCACGGTTGTACATGTGAAGTTTGGCAACATAGAGCGTAAAGAACCTCTTGAGCTGCTTTAGTGTCTTTTATCATATTCATGACATTTGAAGCATCCAAAACCTCTCGTAAACTATGCCTATCAAGAAAAAGAATATGATTAACTAATGAGATTATGCACGATTAAATTTTCTTATAAATAATTCAGCTTCAGAGAGAAAAATATAGACCATACTTGTATCCTGAGGTTGTATGTGTTAGAATTATGCGGGATTTGTTCTCGATAATAGGTCTTAGCTGTCTTCTTTCAGCTTCCAATAATAAGTGCCGATGAAACTGGTCCTAAAGCACAGATAGAAAAACAAAATTAAGCTAAAATAATTATAAAAATGAATATAAAGTCCAATGTAATTCAAACCGCAAAAAAAAAAAAAAAAAAAACACAAATTACTGGGCTCGTTCAATAACCATTTTGTTTTTGGATTTTGGTTTTTGAAAGTTAGGCTCATAAACACCAGTTCCACTTATAAGTTCCTTTATTTTGTTATCCACTTTCTACCAACATCTTCAAAAACCATGCCAAGTTTTGAAAACTAAAAAAAAAAAAAAAAAAAACACAAATTACTGGGCTCGTTCAATAACCATTTTGTTTTTGGATTTTGGTTTTTGAAAGTTAGGCTCATAAACACCAGTTCCACTTATAAGTTCCTTTATTTTGTTATCCACTTTCTACCAACATCTTCAAAAACCATGCCAAGTTTTGAAAACTAAAAAAAAAAAAAAAAAAAACACAAATTACTGGGCTCGTTCAATAACCATTTTGTTTTTGGATTTTGGTTTTTGAAAGTTAGGCTCATAAACACCAGTTCCACTTATAAGTTCCTTTATTTTGTTATCCACTTTCTACCAACATCTTCAAAAACCATGCCAAGTTTTGAAAACTAAAAAAAAAAAAAAAAAAAAAAAAAAAAAAAAAAAAAAGAAGTAGTTTAACAACTTGTTTTTGTTTATAGAATTTGGATAAAAGTTTGACTTTTCTTTTAGAAATATGAAAACTATAAAATGAAAGATCGGAAGAAACAAGCATAAATTACAGAAAACTAAAAAAAATGAAATCATTATCAAACAGGACTTAAAAAATATATATAAATAGTTTTTCATCATCCAACAAGATTCGTTGCCAAAATCATATTTCCAAGTTCCATTTTTAATTATTTTAGAGAGAGTATTTTGGGTTTACTTCAGACCTTGGTAAATCCAGGACTAGCTATCACTGCACAGCGTACCACTTTAAAATCAACATGCTTCAAGAAAGCCTACATAAAGCACAAAAAACAGTTAGAACCTAAAAGGACACGCCTAAGTTTGTTTACTAACCTGAGAACATACTCAAGGCATTACAATGCTTATTCAAGGCCTGCAAAACATTAAAATTTTGATAAGACATACCTGTAAAACATTCTCGAAGAATTTATTCAAGGCCTGTGGAAGAAAAAAAAAAAAATTGGAGACATTAGTTTCTAACCTACTAATGACTAGAACATTATTGTCTGCTACACTGATCTAAAGAGAAGTGAAAAGTGACTCTGGCAAGCAGAATCATACCGACTCATAACCAGCAATGGCTGGCCCATGCTTGCGAGGAATTGAAGTTTCGATTCGAGCTCGAGTAATTGTCATACTGTAATATAAAAATCATCGTAACATTAAAACACAAACAACCAAAATCACTTGCATAGCGCTGCAATAGTTAGATAACATTCTGACAGAAAGTGAACATCGAATAGAGAAATTGCTTTCTTTTATTGGATGGAAAACTGAGCCAGGGCATTAATTGTGGCTAAAGAGTCCATGTCTGACACATACTGAACACTCAGATACCTCACACTAGTTAAACATGATTTTGGACATTTGAATTAGAATTTTGAAAGATAATGAATTGATGTAGAAAGAATTGCAAGAAATCTAATTTGTGGAGTATCAAATTTCAACTTCTCCAACATGTAATTGTTCTGTAATTATTCCCCTTTTCTTCATAGTCTCCAATATAATTTACTCTCCTTCTAGTCTTTAAATATTCCATTCCCGTCGATAAAACAGTTATTTTTATGGAGAGAAGAATAACAGACATTAGACCAGGATCCTCACTGATAACGAAGATTCCATATTAAAAATAATAGAAAATTACATTTTTTTTGTCCCTGAGGTTTATACTTAAGAGTTTATTTAGCTGCTAAAGTTTCAAAAACAACACTTTAGTCTTGAAGTGCGGGAAATAGTTCTAAATGATCCCTAGAGTTAGTTGACGGAGTAGAAAAATGACATAACAATTAGTAGGTTGGGACTGCTTATGCGTCATCTTTAAATGAGTTGGGAAAAAATTAATTTCATATTATATATATTCTTATGTGGCCTTTTCCCTTTTTCTCCCTCCTCCCTCTTGTCCCTACTCCTCTATTCTTCATTTTCATCCTCATTCAGCAGATCTTTCTGCCACACTACTGCCATGATCATTGTCCTCGTACTAAAGCGTCTTCATCTTCTATCCTCTTTCTGCCAACCAGTTCTCCTCTCTCACAACCGAACTAAAAAAAAAAAAACCCACGTGTCTTCCTTTTTTATCCTTGTTCTAAAGTCAAGTCCTCGGACTAAAGTTGAATTCAAAAGAGCAATACTATCAAGTTAAAGAGACAAAATAATGAAATAAGGATGTAGGCCATGGAAGCCAATCAACGTGTGCAATGTCAAACACTGCAGACAGGGAATCTGGCGAACCTATTGCGCAACAATTCTATATAAAGCATTTTTTTTTCAGTCTCGAAAAGGCATGAGGAGGAGGAATTTCGATGTATGAAATTGTGGAGAGGTAAATTCGCTAAAAAGTTTAAGCCAGAAGTGTCTGATTCTGAATTTCTGATGTTAATAGGTTTGATGATGGATAGAATAGTTTTAAAGCTGAGTGTTTGTTATGATCTTAATAATTGGAGCAACACTAGCAGCAGTAGCAATCTGAGTTCAACTAGATATGAAATTAATTCACTTAATGTGTTTGATAATGGGTGGAATAGCTTCAAGCCAGAGGGTCTGATTGTAATGTCTTTAATGGTGGGTGAAAGCTTAAATCTGGAAATATGGGGTAGATCCTGTGATTGGAAGAGCCCAAAAGGTTTTAGTGGGGCGTTTAACAAAGGGATTCACTCAAAATTTGAGAACTATAAAAGTAACAATTTTGTAAATCTGAAGAACTACAAGAACAGTGGGATGGTTGAACAGTAACAAGAAGAATAGTAGCGAAAAATCCACATAAGAAAACAAAGAAGGGAGAGAGTAGGAACAAAGACGCTATCACGCCAACTGTGGTGGTGGCAAGAACTGCTGAAGGAGGAGGAAAATGAAGAATAGAGTAGGGATGAGAGAAAGACGGACGAAAGAGAAAAGGTCGTATAAGAAAAATAAATAATATAAAATTAAAATTTCTTGGTTTACTCATTTAAAAATGATGGGCAGTGGAGTCTCAGTAACTGCTTGTCATTTTTCTACTTAGTCAACTAACCCTGGGACTATTTAGAATAATTTTTCAAACCTCAAGGACCAAAGTGTTGCTTTTGAAATATCATAAACCAAATAGGCACTATACAACTTAGGGACCAACGGAATAATTTCACCTAAAAATAATTAACAAGACCAAGCATATCTTCATATAACTAATTCCAGATATGCAGGGGATAAATATTTTAGAATAAACCCATGTCCATCGGTATGTCAAAATGACTGCTTACATATATTTATATGGGAAAACCTAACTGTTATCCCAGTAACAATAAAGTTACCTTTTTCCAACAAGGAGAACATGTGCTAATCCTTCTTGCATTAAAACCACGGCCAAGTCAGCACTAGCAGCAGGATCTGAGGTGTATAGAAGTCAACAACCATTCATCATCCTTCTTGACATATGCTAAAGACTACTATAGATAGTAATTATAATTATAACAAAGGAAACGCCTACCATAGCTAGCTGATCACTGTCTAAATAATTCTAAAAAAAAATATTTATAAGTTTGATATGCACGAGCTCTAACTATTTATAAAACAGAACAGTCGATGCTTCTTTCCCAATCGACCTTAAAATAAACCTAAAATAAAATTCACCTTCATTAAATGTTTTCAACAATAAAATCAACCATATTGGTTTCTTATAAATAGTAATTTAGCACTAGCCACCATGAGAATAGCTCAAGTAGTTAAGGCAATCTATCCTCAACTAAAATGTCAAATGTTCAAATTTCAACCGACATGTTGAACTCAAAAATTATAATTGCGCACTATATTGGGATATTCCCAAGCGTCCTTTAGAAATCTCTCATTTGGATTTTAAGATTTCCAAGCCCCTAGGTGTTAAGATGGGGAAATGGTTTTATTCCAGTCTATCATTTGTTTTATTCTCGTTAAAAAGGGCACTTTCTTCCTTTCATCCATACTTAGAAGAGAACTTTTGAAATTCAGATTTAATTGAAGAAAGATGTATAAAAATGTTACACCCTATGATCAGAATGTCCCCTTTCCACCCTCCCCTTCACCTATCTTACCCCAAAACAACCATTTGTCTTCACTCCTTTGGATCTAGATGGTTTAACAAGAGAAGTTGTTCACTTGACAAAGTACCTACACCTCATGGTCACATCTCAGAGGTTGACTCAAAGGTAAGTTTGAGTAGTGTAGAATCAGTCATTCAGCCAGTGGATTGTTGTATGGAGGTTGATGTACTTGAAGATTTTTTCTTTTTTCTTTTTCTTTTTTTTTTCTTTTTTTTTTTTTTTTTTTTTTTTTTTTTCTTTTTTTTTTTTTTTTTTTTTTTTTTTTCTTTTTTTTTTTTTTTTTTTTTTTTTTTTCTTTTTTTTTTTTTTTTTTTTTTTTTTTTCTTTTTTTTTTTTTTTTTTTTTTTTTTTTCTTTTTTTTTTTTTTTTTTTTTTTTTTTTCTTTTTTTTTTTTTTTTTTTTTTTTTTTTCTTTTTTTTTTTTTTTTTTTTTTTTTTTTCTTTTTTTTTTTTTTTTTTTTTTTTTTTTCTTTTTTTTTTTTTTTTTTTTTTTTTTTTCTTTTTTTTTTTTTTTTTTTTTTTTTTTTCTTTTTTTTTTTTTTTTTTTTTTTTTTTTCTTTTTTTTTTTTTTTTTTTTTTTTTTTTCTTTTTTTTTTTTTTTTTTTTTTTTTTTTCTTTTTTTTTTTTTTTTTTTTTTTTTTTTCTTTTTTTTTTTTTTTTTTTTTTTTTTTTCTTTTTTTTTTTTTTTTTTTTTTTTTTTTCTTTTTTTTTTTTTTTTTTTTTTTTTTTTCTTTTTTTTTTTTTTTTTTTTTTTTTTTTTTTTTTTTTTTTTTTTTTTTTTTTTTTTTTTTGAAGCTTTTGACTTACTATTTCAAGATTGTGACAAGAAGCCTCCTCCTATTTCTTCATCTTATTGGCCAAATTTGTTTTGTTGTAGAATCTTGTGGTCTTGAGTTTCGTGAAATTTCTCTTTTGGCTTGAGAATGGCATGGTTTAGCTTTGCACAGTTTTGTTTCTTATCTAAGATAATTGGATTAACTTTGCATGAAGAGAATTTTTACTCCTTTGTTTACTACTTTGTTGGTGGTTCCTCCGAAGTTTCTTTTTATGGGATGATTTTTCTTGCAAAACTAAAGAATTTATCGAGCAATCATATGCAGATTTGGCTTGAAGTATAGAATTTGATGGAATCAATCTTTTTGGTATTGAGAAGCTTTCTAGTTTTGTTACATCAGGATGCCTTGTGATTGCTTTTAAAAGGTTTTTTTGTCTATTGGTGATCATATGCACTGAAGAGTTTATCGAGCAATCATATGCAGATTTGGCTTTTAGTATAGAATTTGATGGAATCAATCTTTTTGGTATTGAGAAGCTTTCTGGTTTTGTTGCATCAGGATGCCTTGTGATTGCTTTTAAAAGGTTTTTTTCTTTATTGGTGATCAATTTTTGGTTTTCTTTGGAATATTTGAAGTAGCAATTAATTTTTAGCATTTGGTGGAGGCCTTTTTCATAGTTTCATCATTCTTTTGTAAGCTCTCCAACTCTTCCAGTCAAAGATATTAGAAAAAATCTTGGTTCCTTTAAAATTTATTTAGTTTCTTGGTTAATATCTAAAGGTATTTGTTGTTTGTACTTTTTTCTTTTTCACTCCTTTTTACAGTTTGTATCCCTTGAACTTTTATTCCGTTCTCATTATATCAATAAGAAGTTGTTCCTTGTAAAAAAAATTTTAAAATAATTTTTTTAAAAAAATAATTATACTCTATGTGAATAAAATCAATGCACAGTAGTATTTAATGCAACCAATTGAACATCAATTCATTTATAATATGACAAAAGCAGTAATAGTTTACCCAGAAACATACCAGAGGCTTGATGAAGTACATCTAGAGCAAAAGAGTCCCAAACATCCTAGAAAATGGGGAAGAATTTCTCCTCGTCAGCATTTGTTTTTTTTAAGAAAACGTGACTTTTAATGGAGAACAATAAAAGAGTGCAGGGAGAGAAATAAAATCCAGCACAACAAAAGAATGCTAACTAGCTATACGCAAAATGGATCTAATCCAAGAAAATCAAACCTAAGAGAAAGAATCAGTTTCTTATCAAAAACAGGGTGGGAGCTCTAATTTCCAAACATTAACAAACGATATGTTGAAGGGTTTAATTTTTTGGAGGGGGCTGGGTGCAGAAAAACAACATTTTGGGAAATGTACAGAGATTGAGAAGTTGTATGTCACCGATGTTTAAAGCACAAGGAAAAATTTTACCTTTCTCAAAACAAATGGCCGATGCAGCTCAAGTTCTAAAGTATGGTAAGCCCCTATCTGAAATGAAGCATTAGTAGTTAATAAGCTAAATCATCCCTAAATATCCAAATGATAATATATGATACTCTTTTAGAAAGAAGAAAAAAAAAAAAAAAAGCAAAACTTGGCTATGTTATTCTTTAAAAGATTTATTTTTCTTGACTGGAGTCCACTTCTTTAGTAGGACTTCTTTAATGGGATTGTTTTATTTAATGTCCTTGTGTCTTCCATTTTTTTCTAATGAAGGTTTGGTTCTTTAAAAATAATAATAAAAATTAGTATTCTCTGAAATAATCTCTATTTGATTGCAATTATCTTTAAGTTCTTGATTTTTTTTTTTTTTTCTCTTTATTTTCACTCCCCTTGGGAGTTTGTATCCCTTGATCATTTATTCCTTTTCATTATATCAATGAGAAGTTGTTTTTTGTTCTAAAAATAATAAAGCAAAATAATTAACACTGTACTTACCTTCACATGCTCATTTTCCAGAATATTTTTTCCACGTATCCGCAAAACAGATCCAACTTTGTCATAATCTGCCACCTAAAATATTTTCCATGTGAACAAAATTTATACGGGATGCATCTTCAAAGTGTACACAAAATAAGTGCAGAATAAGGATATGGAATGCATAATGAAAAGCTTAGAAATTATTAACACTATTTCATATTTCTGAATAATGGTTTCTGGGGCTATAATCTTACGTTTTATTGTCGTTTTATGAGGATAGAGTGGATAAATAGGATCCTAGTTGGTTAAGAAATCCATTAGTATCTTGGTATCCAAAGTTTGGATGCCTACTTCTAATTAGAAGTTTTAGTACAAAACAAATGGGAGTTGCTACTTCAACTTTGTCTCTTCCAAGAGGGATTTCTCATCTTCTTCTTTTGGTATATACTTTTTACGTATTAATAAACTCTTTAGCTCCTATTTGAAAATTTTAAATTTATAGAATAGGGGTAGTGAGAGCTCTACATATCCTGGACAGTGCTGAACTAGCCTAAGCACTACCATTTAAATTATAACAATTCTTAGTACCTTGAACACAAGAATAACGCACTTGAACTATTTTACCAATTCATGGAAAATTTATAACAGTGGCCACACGACCACCAATTCTTACATTCGTTTTGCCATGTCAATAAGTTGTTAGAATTTCATACCTCCTCAACTTTTATTTCTAGCTTGAGTTTCACTCGTTCTGCATCTCTTCCTCCAGAAGCCATCTCTCTGATGACTTTCCTGTCATCAATCATACGCATGCCAAACGAGTATATAAATAAGAAGCCAAAGAACTCAGGGGAACTCTAACTAAGCTCTCAATACACCAATTTTAAACTTAAATCTTCGACTTTATCAAAGTAAATCCCAAGCTTGAATAAGCTTCAAAATTAGTTGCCAAACCAGTTTTCATTTTTAAAAGAATTGAGTATTAGCTCTTCTGGTCATGTTAGATTTGAGCATTTCATTGCATTGTTGGAGTGCCTTTTTTACCGCTATATTGTGTGGCTAAGTTTCAACATTGTCATAGTTGGGTTTGGGAAATTTTTGTGGTTTGATTCTTGATATTTTGTTTGTTGAAATTTGCGTAACAAAGTAATTAATTGGTGGGAAATTTTCAATTTGTAGTTTTGAGGAAGTACAAATTCACCATTCATCCAAGTTTAGGGTTCAATTAATAAAATTCAAAGTTCAAAGGCTGAGATTGACCCACTTAGCTAACTGCTGGTGTTAAAACTGATATTTCTTGTCCAAACTTGCATCAGAAAAATAAACCCAAAACAAAATTATACTTAAAACAATAAAAATTAAATGAGAAATAAGAACTTGAGCATGGCAGAAGGAGATACCTAACGGTGACAGCCATAACAGTGTCTCCAGGAGCAATCAAATTGAACGCATGCCATAGATCATCTGAATCAAGTGGCACCATCTGCCCCAACAAGACTCCAGAACAGAAATCAGCCACAGATATATATATCGATCAATTGTCTTCCACATAAAAATCTTGTGACGAGAAGAATCACCGCGTAATACATACTTTCATTCAAAGAAATTCGGTTCCAGAAAAGAACAAGAAGATTGAACGCGCAAAGGGTAGGAAAAATAATAGAATTTTTAATCGAGTTTAACGAGTTTTGGCAATACCTTGACACTACCAGACCCATTCTGATCAAGCTGTTTGCGTACGATCTTCATAATTCCACCAGAAAGTTTGAATTCCTAATATCTGTCTCAATGCCTCTCCGTTTATAGTAACGAATTTCAATCAAATATGCCAAATCAAAATGCCCTAAACTGAAATTAGGTTTAGTTTTTTCTCGCGAGTTTTTTAGTATAAATAAAATGATTAATTATGCTCTGCCCATGAAAATTGATGTGAAAAAGTTAGAAGTAATAAGTGATATTGTTTATTATTATTTATTTCACTTATTTACCTAATCAACTTCGAAATCAATTATCACGCGAATTTATGTAAATAATATTTTAAACGATATCACATACTCATTTCATTTTTAATCTACGTGTCTAGCAATAAGCCCAATCAAGTAGGGTAGGATGTCACAATCATACTCGTCCGTGTTGCTCATGGCTGCATGCCCATGACAAGATAAATCCTTATGTCTTTCCAATGTTGTAGTTTTTACTTAAGTCACCCATCGAGTTTACTCGGAGATCTAGGTGCATTTAGCTTTTCATTCTCTATCTTCATGGCCCATCTAGTCATCACGCTTCCTGTGCATGAATCGAGGTGTCCTTATCTATCTCAGGCTCTAAGTGAATTTATCAGGTATGGAGAAGTCAGCGCTCTTTATAGGTAACCTCTCAATCTCTCTATAACTCCATACAAGTCTACTATTGAGTGCTAGTCGAAGATCCCCTAATGACACCTAACAAGCTCCCTATTCCTAGGTCATTTTAGGCAAACTCTCTATTATGCACAACCAGAGCTCTCTCAGTAGTACCCTCTATCGAGCAACGATTTCTAAGTAGATTGTCGCATTACTATGTACTAAGCAGAGCCTTACAGTCGAGGTAAGTTCACAATTAAAGGTTGCACCCTAACCATCCCTCCATCGTACTAGTGAATCCAATGCATCACAAAATAGGCTCTTACAGTCGAGGTAAGTTCACAATTAAAGGTTGCACCCTAACCGTCCCTCCATCGTACTAGTGAATCCAATGCATCACAAAATATCCTTTTTGTGGTTCAAGGACCAAGGAAAGATAACAAGTGATACATAAAACTCTAGGTCACATAGCATCAATGCAGTCATACATTAGGGCAAATCAAGTTTTCCAACCTCCTACCTTACCGGCAATAAATCATCATCATGCATAGTCATTTTAGTGCATTTGCTTACAAGCTAAGCCGTTCGATTTTTTCATTTTTTCTGAGCTTAAGTCAATCATTTGTTACTTACAATGGTCATATAACCTGCTCACAGTCATTTTGTCGAAGTTCTAGTTGATTCCTACAAGTATTTGCTCAAGAAATATCCAAACGATTACTTACGTGTTTAGACATGTTTGAAGGGCTCAAGCCCTCTAGCTTTCCTAGCTTTTGATTCCTTTAAATCTCTAATAAGTCTTATAATGAGTCATAACCAACAATAGATTTATGAGAACTAGTCAGTTCAAGATTCAAATAGGCTAAAGATCATTGTTCATTCATGAAATGAGATGCATGCTTACTCACACGTTCAAGCATGTTTAGAAATCTCATGTCTCATGCCTGTGAGCTCCGAACGTCTTGGATTGGCATTATTCCTTACTTTAGATTTGTCTGGGCTCAAAGTCGGTTCATTATTGAATTACTAAGACAACATTCAAGCTAAGACATTGTTTCCATAGTCCTTTAGATATCGTCTACACATAGTTGCTACAAAAGCTTGATATAAAAGATTTAGTAAGACACAAAGTAACAACTTTCACGAGACCACAGGCATTTTATTTTGTCTACACCATTCATTCAATATGCTTGGTTGGATACTACTACTTTCTATTGGTTGAGATTTATTGGGATAATGAGGCGATATTTATACGGTGATTCCTAAAATTTATCAAAGTTTTTTTTAGAGTATTTAAATCTTTTTTCTAAATTTATTCTTAATATAATTCATAAACTTTTGTTTGGTTAAAATTTAATTATTGTTTTATTATTTTTAAAATTTAATTAACATTGTACCCATTCTAATTTTTTGTATTTAATATTTATATATTATTTTTAAAATTTAATTAATATTGTACCAATTCTAATTTTTTGTATTTAATTATTTTATAAATATGTTGATTATTGTTTCTAAAAAAAGTTTATTCTAATTATAAATAAATAAAAAAAATTATAAAAATATAAATTTCAAAATTGATTTTTTTAAAGTAATTTTACTTCTTAAAAATATAAATATAAAGTAATTTTAATTCTAACGTCTTTTAAACTACCATTTTAAGGAAGAAAAAGAGAGAAAAGAACGATTTTTTTTTAAAAACCTTTTAAATGATATTTATTTATTTATAATTATTTTTACAATTCTAGACAATAAAAAACTATTTAATTAACAGAGTATTTAAAATTGAATTTCTAAATTAAAATTAAAACGATAGTAACCGTTAAAATTAGTAAATTTATAAACAATCGAACTTGTAAAATAAAATTTTAAAGAGAATGAATTTACTCAATTTATTTAAAAGATACAAATTAGAGAGAAAATACAATAAATTGGAAACCCTAAACCCTTTCTTGTTCTTCTTACTCCTCAGCACAGCCAGTTTCTCTTCCCACATTCGCACTGTTTTTCGTTGGTACTGTATTCTACCTCCGTGCGCGGCGCCGTCATCCACCGGTAATACACAGCTGTTTCTCTTCCCCACATTCGCACTGTTTTTCGTTGGTACTGGTATTCTTCTACCGTTAGAGTTGTTTCGACACACGATTTTTTTAATAGCTAGCAACACGATTTTTTTTAATAACTAGCAAAATAGCAACGATTGCGGCAAATTGGGACTTCTTGAACTGCAGCTGCGTTTAGCTTTGATTTATTGTATACATTTGTCAATTGAGCTCATCTGTATATCTTTGATTCTCTGTTGAAATATCTTGGTCTGTCCGGGGGAAGATGAAACGGAGTTAGTTTTTAGTGTAGATTTTAGGGTTTGTAAGGATTTGGAATTCTTTCCCTATTGCGTAGGCTCTCTTCCCTGCTTGGATATGACGTCAAGACCAGAACTGCAAGCTCCTCCAGAAATATTCTACAACGATGCTGAGGCTCGGAAATATACTTCATCCTCTCGTATCATTGAAATTCAGGTAAGCCTACCAATGATCTTTAAATAATGTCCTTTCTAGTCTCAATTTTGATCTTAGGAACTGGCGGTAACATGTATCTAGCTTTAAAAGAAAAGTCTAGATATTGAAAAGTGTTTGTAATTGGTAAATTTAATTGAGACTACTTTGTTTTTGACTTTCAGAAGTAGGGTGCTGGGTCTTCTAGAAAAATAGAAGTGTTTTCTCCATGCTATATGAGTTTGTTTATTTGTTTTTTGGTGTATGATGAAGGCAAAAATCACAGATAGAGCATTGGAGCTTCTTGCTTTGCCTGATGATGGAGTGCCGAGGTTGCTTCTTGATATTGGTAATTGTCTTTCTTCATGCATACGATTAGTCTTCAAAAGTTGAAATCGAAAGCTTCAAGTGCCTATCTCTTATGGGTTTCTGAAATAGTAAATCGTGGATAATGAGATGGGCATGAATAGTGCGACAAACTATTTCACTTTCTTGCTGTTTTTGTATTTCTGTATGAAACTTTAGTTAAAAGAGGATGGATGACTTTGATTTGTTTAACCAATGGATAATTAATATTTCGTTTTTCTCATGTGTTCTAGACGATGAATTTGAGCATAAATCTTCTATTTTTATTTCCTTGTTTATACACATCTTTTTAGTGTCTTGTGGACTTCAATGTGAATGATGCATTCAAGTCAACTTGATGTGGCGATAGACTACAATGTGTTGTCATGCTTGATTAAAGATAATTGGACAATACCATGCTTTTCAGTTTGCTTTCAGATTTCATGCCTCCATATTTGTTCATAGGTTTGAGTTCTTGTATGCCTTTGAAAAGATTATTCTGAACACATATGTTCTTCGATTACTTCAGGCTGTGGATCAGGTCTTAGTGGGGAAACATTGACTGAGTATGGACACCAATGGATTGGTTTGGATATCTCTCAATCAATGCTTAGTACGTGAATGATTGGCATTAATCTGAATATATGGTCACAAATATATTGGTTACTTCTAGGAACTTCCTTCTTTTGCCTTCTTAAGAATGCTCTTTTTTAAAATAATTCAGATGTTGCATTGGAGCGGGAGACTGATGGTGACCTTTTACTTGGTGACATGGGTCAGGTACTTCATTTGTGGGAATGTAATCTAACTAGTTTTCATGTGTTCTCTCCTTTTTTCTGTTTAGAAGACATCCTAGTTTATTATTAGTGGACAAATTTAGTTAAAAGAATATAGCTCTTCTCTAGTGGCATTCAAAATCTCCTTTTATTTTATTTTAATAAGATTCCTGCATCACATGTTCTTTCGTTCTGATGCAGGGCTTAGGAATACGTCCGGGAGTTATTGATGGGGCTATTAGCATCTCTGCCGTTCAGGTTTACTACTTTGCTTTTGTTTTGTGGGTATTGAGATGAATTGAGAGATCATTTTCATCCTACTTTTGTTGTGGGTTTAAGTTTAAACTTTATCCAAATGTTTTAAATTGTAATGTTAGCAAGATCTTGCCTCATTCTTTCTGGTTCTTACTTTCATTTTTGCTTGACCAATTTTTTAGCATTGGGGGTTATAAGTGCAGTTCTTAAATTATTAACTAGGTATTTATTAAAGTAATTTGATTATTTAACGAGCATGTCTCACTTCGTTATACTGTTAAAAGTTTTTTTCTAAGAATTGCTTCTCGAGCAGTCTTGAGGCTTCTGCAGAGGTTGTCCCTGACTTAACTTACTAATTGATCTTCTACCTTTTATTTATTTATTTTATTTGGTATAATTTTTCAGTGGTTATGCAACGCTGACAAGTCCTCTCATAATCCGCGACTAAGATTGAAGTATGTCTTACAAATTTCTACCCATCTTTTAAGAATAACCTGCATGCCTGCTTGAAATACCGACTGATGAATTTGATTCACAAATGAAACACGCATTTACTGATCTTGTTCTTTCTTTATATTTCTTATCTTGTTAAATTATTATTTTTTTCTGCTCAAATCATTCTAGGGCGTTCTTTGAATCACTATACAAA